GCTTATATCGGTTAGGACTTGGTTTACTTGGTCCCACTTTATGTTTTTGTTATTGAAGTTGAATTTGGTGAATGCTCCCTCGTGACTAATCTCATTATGTCTGTCTGGGGCTCCACGCATACATGTCTGAACCTCAATTATGTTGTGATCTGAGTATATTGTTTTTGATATGGTGACATTTCTTATCAGATCATCATTGTTAGTGAAGATGAGGTCTAGTGTATTCTCCAGTCTAGTAGGCTCTATTATTTGCTGGTTTAAATTGAATTTTGTGCAGAGATTTAAAAGCTCGTGTGAGTGTGAGTTTTCATCAGAGCTGCCTCCTGGTGTTATTACTGCAACAATATTATTTGGTATATTCCTCCATTTTAGGTGCCTTAAGTTGAAATCCCCCAGGAGCAAGATGTTGGGTGCAGGAGCTGGAAGATTTCCAGACAGTGGTCAATTTTTAACAGCTGTTCCTGGAATTGCTGGGATGTTGCATCCGGAGGCTTGTAGACTACCACAATGACTAGGTTTTGGTTCTCGACCTTTACTGCTAAAACTTCCACTACATCATTTGAGGCATTAAGCAGTTCTGTGCAAACAAGTGACTCTGCAATGTACAGGCCAACCCCCCCTTTTTGCCTGTTCACTCTGTCACATCTGTATAGGTTGTAACCTGGAATCCATATTTCGTTGTTCAAGTGATCCTTTATGTGGGTCTCAGTGAAAGCCGCGAACATTGCCGTTGCCTCTGCAAGCAGTCCGCGGATGAAAGGTATTTTGTTGTTTGTTGCTGGCTTTAGACCCTGTATATTTGCAAAGAAGAATGTTATCGGACTGGTGGTATTGTTGGTACTGGGGGGGGGGGATTTTTTTTCCGGCATTAGTATCTGTATCTGTTGGTTTGGAGTGGAGGCCATCGACTGTGGTTCCACTCCAGGAATGACTGGATTTGGTGTACGATTTCTGCCATTTCCTGCCAGTATTTTTTCCTTCCTGTGTAGGTAGCTAGTGGTAACAGCCATGGTGTGTAGGTACCTAGTGGTAACAGTTATGGTGTGTAGGTAGCTAGTGGTAACAGTCATGGTGTGTAGGTAGCTAGTGGTAACAGTCATGGTGTGTAGGTACCTAGTGGTAACAGTCATGGTGTGTAGGTAGCTAGTGGTAACAGTCATGGTGTGTAGGTAGCTAGTGGTAACAGTCATGGTGTGTAGGTACCTAGTGGTAACAGTCATGGTGTGTAGGTACCTAGTGGTAACACTCATGGTGTGTAGGTACCTAGTGGTAACAGTCATGGTGTGTAGGTACCTAGTGGTAACAGTCATGGTGTGTAGGTAGCTAGTGGTAACAGTCATGGTGTGTAGGTACCTAGTGGTAACAGTCATGGTGTGTAGGTAGCTAGTGTTAACAGTCATGGTGCGTACGTAGCTAGTACTAGCAGTCATGGTGTGTAGGTAGCTAGTGTTAACAGTCATGGTGTGTAGGTAGCTAGTACTAACAGTCATGGTATGTAGGTAGCTAGTACTAATAGTCATGGTGTGTAGGTAGCTAGTACTAACAGTCAAGGTGTGTAGGTAGCTAGTGTTAACAGTCATGGTGTGTAGGTAGCTAGTACTAACAGTCAAGGTGTGTAGGTAGCTAGTGTTAACAGTCATGGTGTGTAGGTAGCTAGTACTAAGAGGTCAAGGTGTGTAGGTAGCTAGTACTAACAGTCAATGTATGTAGGTAGCTAGTGTTAACAGTCATGGTGTGTAGGTAGCTAGTGTTAACAGTCATGGTGTGTAGGTAGCTAGTACTAAGAGGTCAAGGTGTGTAGGTAGTTAGTGTTAACACTCATGGTGTGTAGGTAGCTGGTACTAATAGTCATGGTGTGTAGGTAGCTAGTACTAACAGTCAATGTATGTAGGTAGCTAGTGTTAACAGTCATGGTGTGTAGGTAGCTAGCTAGTGTTAATAGTCATGGTGTGTAGGTAGCTAGTGTTAACAGTCATGGTGTGTAGGTACCTAGTGTTAACAGTCATGGTGTGTAGGTACCTAGTGGTAACAGTCATGGTGTGTAGGTAGCTAGTACTAACAGTCATGGTGTGTAGGTAGCTAGTACTAACAGTCATGGTGTGTAGGTAGCTTGTACTGACAGTCAAGGTGTGTAGGTAGCTAGTACTCATAGTGTTAGAGTAGCTATTAACATATGGTGTGTAGGTAGCTAGTACTAACAGTCAAGGTGTGTAGGTAGCTGGTAATGCCATGGTTAGTAGCTAGCTACTAACAGTCATGGTGTGTAGGTAGCTAGCTAGTGTTAACAGTCATGGTGTGTAGGTAGCTAGTGTTAATAGTCATTGTGTGTAGGTAGCTAGTACTAACAGTCATGGTGTGTAGGTAGCTAATACTAACAGTCATGGTGTGTATGTAGCTAGTACTAACAGTCAAGGTGTGTAGGTAGCTAGTACTAACAGTCAAGGTGTGTAGGTAGCTAGTACTAACAGTCATGGTGTGTAGGTAGCTAGTACTAACAGTCATGGTGTGTAGGTAGCTAGTACTAACAGTCAAGATGTGTAGGTAGCTAGTGTTAATAGTCATGTGGTGTAGGTAGCTAGTAATAACAGTCAAGGTGTGTAGGTAGCTAGTACTAGCAGTCATGGTGTGTAGGTAGCTAGTACTAACAGTCATGGTGTGTAGGTAGCTAGTACTAACAGTCATGGTATGTAGGTAGCTAGTACTAACAGTCAAGGTGAATAGGTAGCTAGTACTAACAGTCATGGTGCGTAGGTAGCTAGTACTAACAGTCATGGTGTGTAGGTAGCTAGTACTAACAGTCAAGGTGTGTAGGTAGCTAGTACTAACAGTCATGGTGCGTAGGTAGCTAGTACTAACAGTCAAGGTGTGTAGGTAGCTAGTACTAACAGTCAAGGTGTGTAGGTAGCTAGTACTAACAGTCATGGTGCGTAGGTAGCTAGTACTAACAGTCATGGTGTGTAGGTAGCTAGTACTAACAGTCAAGGTGTGTAGGTAGCTAGTACTAACAGTCATGGTGCGTAGGTAGCTAGTACTAACAGTCAAGGTGTGTAGGTAGCTAGTACTAACAGTCAAGGTGTGTAGGTAGCTAGTACTAACAGTCATGGTGCGTAGGTAGCTAGTACTAACAGTCATGGTGTGTAGGTAGCTCTTACTAACAGTCAAGGTGTGTAGGTAACTAGTACTAACAGTCATGGTGTGTAGGTAGCTAGTACTAACAGTCATGGTATGTAGGTAGCTAGTACTAACAGTCAAGGTGAATAGGTAGCTAGTACTAACAGTCATGGTATATAGGTAGCTAGTACTAACAGTCAAGGTGTGTAGGTAGCTAGTACTAACATTCATGGTGTGTAGGTAGCTAGTACTAGCCTTCTAGAATAACAGGGAAACGTAAGAAGTGACTTCAGGAAGTTAAGGAATTCTTGAATTACCCGCGAGGCTGTTTCTGCGGTATACAGAGCAAGTGTTGAGTCAGCATCGAACACAGCGCTCACAGAAGATGGAGGTGTGAGGTCAGAGGTCACACGAGGACGAGTCTTGACCTCAGTCTTGTGAGCAGTGCAAAAAAATGAAGACTTTTATTCGGATTATTTATCCCAACGGGTGAATAACCCAGGATAAGCCCAGCCGAGGTTAATATATAACCCAAAACTGTACTTGAACTCCGTGGGACGCAAACGTGAGAGATACACATATGCTGCTATGTATGATAATTCTATGTAACTGTATTTGTGTATACCTGAATAAACTTACTTACTTACTTATACATCGTAATCTGTACACAAAAAATTCTAAGGGAAATTCTAAGGGAATTGGTACCAAACCTCCGCGCTGAATTTGGTACTTACGAAGCCAAGAGGCTTGGAAGACGGTGCGAGATACCTGCATTAAGAAAACAAGGGCACGGGGAGTACAATTAGAGACGGATTACTAAGGGTGAGGGGATCAAAACTCTTTAGCACCCTCCCTTCATACATAATAGAATTACCCACAAACCTCTAGGCAGTCTTGAAGAGGAGGAAACTTGATAAATTCCTGAAGTCGCTACGTGATCAGCCGGGCTGTGGTGTATACACTAGACTGCGGGCGGTGGGCACCAACAATTTATTTGATCAGGATAGCAATCTGGAGGCCTGGTCTGGGACCGGGCCGCGGGGGAAGTGACCTCCGGAAGTGACTACAGGTACCTGCAGGTAGCTTCTAGATATTTACTGACTGCTAGAGAATCTAGATAAACAAGGTCAAGAGGAGAGCAGGTCCGTCCTACCCTGCCCTGCATTAATAATAATAATAATAATAATAATAATAATAATAATAATAATAATAATAATAATAATAATAATAATAATAATAATAATTATTATAATAATAATAATAATAATAATAATAATAATAATAATATTAATATTAATAATAATAATAATAATAATAATAATAATAATAATAATAATAATAATAATAATAATTTTTCTAAATACATGTGGTTCTGGAGACAGCAGAGCTGACACCTACAATGGTTATGTTACAATGAATAAAATCTAAAGTCAGACACTGATGGTAAATTTTATTGATTTTACTGAGAGTAATCCAATAAAGAGAGAGTGTGACTTGTTTCCATTCAAGTGGTGTTGAGCAGAGAAGATCCTTGCCACAGGAGGGACTCTGTATAACTGGAGTTTGTGGCTGGGCGTGAGAGGCGATCATCAAGCAAGTAGGAAAAATAATTACCTTCTTGCGTTGCCGGGGAGTCTGGAAGCTCCTCGCTCGCGTTGCCACACACTCCCCGTCACCGCCTCAAGTCTCCTTCATATTTGTCCCTTACGATTTATTTCCTCCCGTGTTGTAGGCGAATTGACGTTGAAGTGAATCACGATCAGCGTGTGGTATTACATGAAGGACACGAAAGGGAGGAACACGGCTAAAATGGCTCTTTATAATTGGGAATATTTGGGCTAGGGCGCACCCCTCGCCCATCTTCTCCAGGACTCGCCTCAAAGGAATTCGGGTCCACACATTCTACGTTTGACCATGACGGGCAGGACGTGGGAGCAGCACCACCATCCAGGGACCTGATAACCCTCTCGTACGTGCATTTCTGCAGGACGGCGAGATATACCGAGCGACGGGATTACCTTCAGAGTAGAGTATTACTAGAGCAGTGAAGTGACTAGTGGTAGACAGGAGGGAAGATGAGGCCGTGAAATTTTGAAAACGATCGTGTGTGCAGGTTGAGACAAGCGCATGAATGTGCAGGAAAGGAAATGTCATTCCTGTAATACTTTTACACTGTTCTCAGCCTTTTACAGCCCAGGACCATTCATAATCTGCTGTGAACGGAGGCTGGTCGTCGGCCAACACTTGTGGTAACTTCACACATTGCAGCTTAATATGAAAGGATAAAATACATGAATAAGTGTTGACCTAAACATCAGCCACCACCTTAGCCGGAGGGAGGGACAGAACCTACCTGCCCTCTCTTCACACCACTCAAAATAAACCACAGAAACTTAAAAGAGGAAAGGTTCACAGACGAGTGGGAGACCCTGTCACAGGATACCTCGCGTGTACATTCCTAGGCCAGGAACCTATCGGCAATTATCGTGATGATTATTGCCCGCTGACCCATCCCCCCCTCACCTCTTCACCATCCCCTAACCCTAAAAGTTATGGGAGGGAGTGTAGGTAAGGGGGGCTCAGGGAAGGGGGGTTCCCTGCTGGATGCCCTACCCTCCCTTAACTCTCCGTTACATGTAGTAATGCTAGGGCTGGACTCAGCGGGCAAGACCACTGCCCTCTACCGTCTCAAGTTCGACCAGTACCTCAACACAGTGCCAACCATCGGCTTCAACTGTGAGAAAATTAAAGGCACGTCAGGCAGGTGCAAAGGTGAGTGAAGGAACTTGTGGCTTCTGGCTCAGGTGGTAGCGACTTTGGCTTGCAACTCATTCCGGGTTCGAACTCAGGCATGAGTGGGAACCTTGGGCATGTTTCCTTACTCCTGCTGCCCCTGATCACCTAACAGTGAGTAGGTACCTGACTGATGTGGGTTGCATCCTGGGAAAAAAGATTAACCAGGTGTTGATGACTACAGGTGTTGGTGGTGATGACTACAGGTGTTGATGATGACACAGGTGTTGATGGTGATGACTAGAGGTGATGATGATGACTACAGGGGTTGGTGGTAATGGCTTCAGATGTTGATGATGACTACAGGTGTTGATGATGACTACAGGTGTTGGTAATAATGACTACAGTAGTTGATGATGACTACAGGTGTTGATGGTGATACTAGAGGTGTTGATGATGATGACGACTACAGGGGTTGGTGGTGATGACTACAAATGTTAATGTCAGGTGTTGGTGGTGATGACTACAGGTGTTGATAAATATAGGTGTTGGTGGTAATGACTACAGGTGTTGATGAAGACTATGGGTGTTGGTAGTGATGACTACAGGTGTTGGTGGTGATGACTACAGGTGATGATGACTACAGATGTTGATTTTGATGACTACAGGTATTGGTGGTAATGATTACAGATGATGATGACTACAGGTGTTGATGATGATACTACAGGTGTCGGTGGTCATGACTACAGATGTTGGTGGTGATGACTGCAAGTGTTGATGATGACTACAGGTGTTGGTGGTGGTGACTACAGGTGTTGGTAGTGATGACTACAGGTGATGATGATGACTACAGGTGTTGGTGGTGATGACTACAGGTGATGATGACTACTGGTGTTGATGATGTTGCTACAGGTGTTGGTGATGACTATAGGTGTTGGTGGTGATGACTACAGGTGGTGAGAATGATGACTACAAATGTTGACATTGATGACTACAGGTGTTGGTGTTGATAACTACAGGTGTTGATGACTACAGGTGTTGATGATAACTACAGGTGTTGGTGGTGATCATTACAGGTGTTATGTTGGTGGTGATGACTACAGGCGTTGATGACTACAGGTGTTGATGACTACAGGTGTTGGTGGTGATGTCTATAAGTGTTGGTGGTGATGACTACGGGTGTTGATGACTACAGGTGTTGGTGATGATGACTACAGGTGTTGGTGGTGATGACTACAGGTGTTGGTGATGATGACTACAGGTGTTGATGATGATGATGATGACCACAGGTGTTGGTGGTGATGAGCACAAGTGTTGTTGACTACAGGTGTTGGTAGTGATGAGTACAGGTGTTGGTGGTGATGACTACAGGTGTTGGTGGTGCTGAGTACAGGTGTTGATTACGGGTGTTGGTGGTGATGACTACAGGTGATATTGATGACTGCAGGTGTTTGTGGTGATGACTACAGGTGTTGGTGGTGATGAGTACAGGTGTTTGTGATGACTACAGGTGTTGGTGGTGATGACTACAGGTGTTGATGATGATAACTACAGGTGTTGATGATGATAACTACAGGTGTTGGTGGTGATGACTACAGGTGTTGGTGGTGATGACTACAGGTGTTGGTGGTGATGACTACAGGTGTTGGTGGTGATGACTACAGGTGTTCATGGTGATGACTACAGGTGTTGGTGGTGATGACTACAGGTGTTGGTGGTGATGACTACAGGTGTTGGTGGTGATGACTACAGGTGTTGGTGGTGATGACTACAGGTGTTGGTGGTGATGACTACAGGTGTTGGTGGTGATGACTACAGGTGTTGGTGGTGATGACTACAGGTGTTGGTGGTGATGACTACAGGTGTTGGTGGTGATGACTACAGGTGTTGGTGGTGATGACTACAGGTGTTGATGGCGATGACTACAGGTGTTGGTGGTGATGACTACAGGTGTTGGTGGTGATGACCACAGAAGTGTCAGTTTTCACAGGTGTGGCTGGAGGCGACACATACCAACTCTTTTTGTGTTTGTCTATATTAAACACGGAGAGATGTATGTCTCTTAGTATGTATACACGGAGAGATGTATGTCTCTTAGTATGTATACACGGAGAGATGTATATCTCTTAGTATGTATACACGGAGAGATGTATGTCTCTTAGTATGTATACACGGAGAGATGTATATCTCTTAGTATGTATACACGGAGAGATGTATGTCTCTTAGTATGTATACACGGAGAGATGTATGTCTCTTAGTATGTATACACGGAGAGATGTATGTCTCTTAGTATGTATACACGGAGAGATGTATATCTCTTAGTATGTATACACGGAGAGATGTATGTCTCTTAGTATGTATACACGGAGAGATGTATATCTCTTAGTATGTATACACGGAGAGATGTATGTCTCTTAGTATGTATACACGGAGAGATGTATGTCTCTTAGTATGTATACACGGAGAGATGTATGTCTCTTAGTATGTATACACGGAGAGATGTATATCTCTTAGTATGTATACACGGAGAGATGTATATCTCTTAGTATGTATACACGGAGAGATGTATGTCTCTTAGTATGTATACACGGAGAGATGTATATCTCTTAGTATGTATACACGGAGAGATGTATGTCTCTTAGTATGTATACACGGAGAGATGTATATCTCTTAGTATGTATACACGGAGAGATGTATGTCTCTTAGTATGTATACACGGAGAGATGTATATCTCTTAGTATGTATACACGGAGAGATGTATGTCTCTTAGTATGCATACACGGAGAGATGTATATCTCTTAGTATGTATACACGGAGAGATGTATATCTCTTAGTATGTATACACGGAGAGATGTATATCTCTTAGTATGTATACACGGAGAGATGTATATCTCTTAGTATGTATACACGGAGAGATGTATGTCTCTTAGTATGTATACACGGAGAGATGTATGTCTCTTAGTATGTATACACGGAGAGATGTATGTCTCTTAGTATGTATACACGGAGAGATGTATATCTCTTAGTATGTATACACGGAGAGATGTATATCTCTTAGTATGTATACACGGAGAGATGTATGTCTCTTAGTATGTATACACGGAGAGATGTATATCTCTTAGTATGTATACACGGAGAGATGTATGTCTCTTAGTATGTATACACGGAGAGATGTATATCTCTTAGTATGTATACACGGAGAGATGTATGTCTCTTAGTATGTATACACGGAGAGATGTATATCTCTTAGTATGTATACACGGAGAGATGTATGTCTCTTAGTATGTATACACGGAGAGATGTATGTCTCTTAGTATGTATACACGGAGAGATGTATGTCTCTTAGTATGTATACACGGAGAGATGTATGTCTCTTAGTATGTATACACGGAGAGATGTATGTCTCTTAGTATGTATACACGGAGAGATGTATATCTCTTAGTATGTATACACGGAGAGATGTATATCTCTTAGTATGTATACACGGAGAGATGTATGTCTCTTAGTATGTATACACGGAGAGATGTATATCTCTTAGTATGTATACACGGAGAGATGTATGTCTCTTAGTATGTATACACGGAGAGATGTATATCTCTTAGTATGTATACACGGAGAGATGTATATCTCTTAGTATGTATACACGGAGAGATGTGTATCTCTTAGTATGTATACACGGAGAGATGTATATCTCTTGGTATGTATACACGGAGAGATGTATATCTCTTGGTATGTATACACGGAGAGATGTATATCTCTTAGTGTGTATACACGGAGAGATGTATATCTCTTAGTATGTATACACGGAGAGATGTATATCTCTTAGTATGTATACACGGAGAGATGTATATCTCTTAGTATGTATACACGGAGAGATGTATGTCTCTTAGTATGTATACACGGAGAGATGTATATCTCTTAGTATGTATACACGGAGAGATGTATGTCTCTTAGTATGTATACACGGAGAGATGTATATCTCTTAGTATGTATACACGGAGAGATGTATGTCTCTTAGTATGTATACACGGAGAGATGTATATCTCTTAGTATGTATACACGGAGAGATGTATGTCTCTTAGTATGCATACACGGAGAGATGTATATCTCTTAGTATGTATACACGGAGAGATGTGTATCTCTTAGTATGTATACACGGAGAGATGTATATCTCTTGGTATGTATACACGGAGAGATGTGTATCTCTTAGTATGTATACACGGAGAGATGTATATCTCTTAGTGTGTATACACGGAGAGATGTATATCTCTTAGTATGTATACACGGAGAGATGTATATCTCTTAGTATGTATACACGGAGAGATGTATATCTCTTAGTATGTATACACGGAGAGATGTATATCTCTTAGTATGTATACACGGAGAGATGTATATCTCTTAGTATGTATACACGGAGAGATGTATATCTCTTAGTATGTATACACGGAGAGATGTATATCTCTTAGTATGTATACACGGAGAGATGTATATCTCTTAGTATGTATACACGGAGAGATGTATATCTCTTAGTATGTATACACGGAGAGATGTATATCTCTTAGTATGTATACACGGAGAGATGTATATCTCTTGGTATGTATACACGGAGAGATGTGTATCTCTTAGTATGTATACACGGAGAGATGTGTATCTTTAAGTATGTATACACGGAGAGATGTGTATCTCTCAGTATGTATACACGGAGAGATGTGTATCTCTCAGTATGTATACACGGAGAGATGTATATCTCTGAGTACACACGCCGAGGTGTTGATCTCTACCCATATAAACAGATTACCTTAATAACAGTTCCTGGGATTAAAATAATCCTGTTCAATAACGCTTGCGTTACCATTACATAGTGCCACTATGCCGCCTTGTTTACGTTGCCAGTTACAACTAAATTAAGCCTTAGGCAACGCTGTGGTTCCCGTTACTGAAGACAGTCATAAAACAGTGTACCTTAGCGTGGCGTAACTGCTCTTCCCTGCCGTCCCTCGCCTCGCAGCCTGCTCTCGTATATGCTTAATGCGAATATA